TTTACTATGTATCTTACTCATTTCCGTGGGTCCAAATGAGCCTATGATTTACAAAAATCTAAATGAACACAAAAGGCTGAAGAAGTGAAGGTAGAAAATGTGTTAGAAATGTAAAAGTAATTCCAAAAGATGAGTTCCACCATTAATTTGGCATGATGGAAGCAATGTGGATATTGAGGTAGCGTCTCTAACAGTGATTATTTTGAAGTGACATTTATTTGGATTTATGTGTTCAAGTTAGATTGTTTATGTTAAGCATATATCTAATATAAAACTTAGCCACACAAAAATATTACAATCAGCTCAACAGAATTTACTGTGTACCGTTGGTAAACCAATGTTATTTCAGAAGAAATGCTTTAGTTTGGAAATGTTTTAAATTGCATACTGATGGAATTTTCAGTGTACACTCCAAATTTATCTATAGTTTATTTATAAATTATATATACACTTTAAATTATAATCATATTCATGTTTTTATAAGTTGTGTGCATTATGAAACATATAAACAGAAATTTATAATTATATATTATATCTAAAAATAAACAAAAGAAAAAAACGAAACTCACTGACGTTGAGTCAGATCCGACTCATGGTGACCCCTCCTGTGTTTCTGAGGTGGTAACACTACAGAAGTAGATTGCCCAATCTTCCTGCTGAGGAGTGGCTGGTAGGTTTGAACCGCCAGCCTTCTAGTTAACACTCAAATGCATTTGGTGTATAGATTAAATATTATTATATATAACGTTATATAATTATATGTATATTCTGATATTTTCTGTCCATATTCCAATGGAGCATCTTGTAAATCATTAGTGAATATACATGCATACCATGTAGGAGACCACTGTTTTAGATGATGGTGATTGTGATCAAGTGCCTAAGAATCTTTCTTTGAAAGGGTTGTTAAAATTGTTATCTGTCCTATCTGTTTAGCACCATCTGTCACACTAAAAAACAAATGTCAATGTAGATTCACCAAGAGTACAATTTAGGAAGAAACACTTGATGCAATTCATCATTACAATTCATTGTTTATGTGAAGATAAATGTTAACATAATTGCTAAAAACTTCATACTGAACTATCATAAAATGATATAAAATAATGTATAAATTCACACCCATAAAGACACAGAAAAACACTTTAGTAAGTGTGATATGTAAAGGAATCAAAGTTAGAATACAGAAATACCAAACTCTGAATACAGTAATTGAAGGCAGGTCAACATGTTCTGAATTGACTTTAGTTAGATTACGTGTCCTCCAGAATCTAAGATACAAACAGTAATGGCCTTAGCAACTAGAATATTGAGAATATGTTTTTAACAAAAATTCCTATTGTAAAGGTATCAATATTTTGGAAAGTACTCACACAATACAGCACTTTTGTAAGAAGCTATGAAAACAATGACAAATGAGAAAGGAAGAGAAGTAATGGTACATCCAGCTCTGAATTTGTGTGTGTCCGGGAAGCTTTATCTCCAGTTGCTGGTCGCTGCTTATTCAAGTTACAGAAACATACTTTTACTCATAAATCCAAACGAGTTGTCAGACAGGGATTTTCTTATTTCAAATGGCATTCTAGAGTAACATTTGGTGCAAAAAATTAAGTCAAATGATTTCTTAAAGTACCCTTAGCAGAAACATATGTATGATTTTATAATGTTCTAAAGTCCATTTAAATTTAGAAAAATGTTTTCTAAAATAATGATGCGAGAATTAAGAATATTGGTCTTGATGCAGAAAACTCAGTCACTATGAAGAAAGAAAAAATAATCCAGTTCTAATTAGTTGTATAAAATTTGCCAGTTCACATGAAAGAACAACGAGCCACTGGAAATAATCAAGAGCAGATTTGACAAACTTCAATAAAAATATTTAAAGATATTTTTAAATGACGCTTGGATTTGTTGGGAAAACAAAGTTCTAACATGATTTTTGGGACTACAATCTGATTCCTTACCTTGCCATACTTCTGTGCATAAGACCCCGTGAGCAGTGAGTGAAAAACAATGATTGTTTCATCCAAATCCCAGACAAACACACGCTGAAGACATAAAAGATAAGTATGAACATATTACAACATTTTAAGGAAACAGAAAGCTCTTTATAAGCAGAAAGTATCTTGCTTCATTTGGATATAATCTTGATACTGTTTTATAGAAAAATATTCTACTACTTTTTTAGTTTTTCCAAATTTGTCAAATTTAACACTTATAAAATCTGAAAGCAAGAATGATAATAATAAGCTTAAAAGACTTGGAGTTAATACCAAAAAATACATACTCAACCTTTATGACAGACCTGTGCTTGAAACTCTGTGTATCATAAAGTTTTAAAGCTCAAAGGCTGATGAAATTTAGCACTGCAAAAAATTGCATTAAAAAATATCTATATTTAAAAGAATCAATGAGCAACTCCTGATACAGAAATTGCAAAGTGTGGACCCTCAGATTAGATTAAGCCAGGAGATGGGTTGTTTGGCCTCCACAGTGTTTTGAAAGATTGTGATTAACTCCGATTAACGTTTCAAAATTAGACTTCACATTGACTGCAGAGTTCTGACTGCAGCAGAGAACCTGGAAGTTGTGGCATGTGGGCCTGGGATGGGTGGGTCATTTGGACAGGCACATGCTCCCAGGAACCCACAGTCTCCTCAATATCTAGTCTGCTTTATTCCTTCATATCACCTGTCCGCTTCTTGAAGACATTAGAATTTGCTACTGTTGTTCAGGTAAAGCATGTTACTTCTTACAAAGAGACAAAATGTCTCTTTATTTTAATAAATCTGGAAAATTATTATTGCTATTATTTTACTGGGAGCTCTGGTAGCATAGTGGTTAAGACACTTGCCTGCTCACCAGAAGGCTGGCGGTTCAAACCCACCAGCCACTCCTCGGAAGGAAGGTTGGGCAATCCTACTTCCGTAGTGATACTGCCTCGGAAACCCAAGGAGGGGTCGCTATGAGTCAGGGCTGACTCGACGGCACATAACAACAACAACAACAACAATTATTTTACTTATAAAATAATAAGTGTGAGAACATATTATGGTTAAGAATAGTTTATCTTAATGTTTTACAATAAAAATCAAACTTCTTAGTATATCTCAGAAGAGCTTACAACTGGAAAAAAAAATGCCATACAGTGACATATTGTCACACATCTAGAAATTTCAAGATATATATCAAATGATTTTTTTTCCTATTTTAAGAAAATGACTTTTCCTTTCCATAACAGATTAATTTTACCTTTTAAAATTCATCAACCCATATAAATTTCTTCTATTAATTTCATTCTACCAAATAAAATAGAAATAAAATAGTGCTTATCAGAAAACATTCTTACAATCAATGAATTTATTTTTAAAATTCCTGTGTGTGACAATTTGGATTAAAAAATGCAGTTATCTCAGGCCTAGAATTTGTAAATCAGTCTGACTTTTGTTATTATTATTATTATTTAAAATTTTGTCCCATATAATGGAGGAAATATTAAACTTCAGAGTTGTAAAAAATCTACTGTACAGTAAATACACTTAATTTATGATATATCTTTCTTTTTATGTTTGGCACTTTATAAAACCATAAGGGATAGATCATACTACTCAATAAGATAAAAGGTCATGTTGTGCATTTAAAGACAAGCAGGCTTACCTCCAGGTCACTGTCGGGAGGCGGGGAGGGGTTATTTTTCCGGCCTCTTCCCCTAGACTTTGACCCAGAACTCCTACACGTCCTCTCATCAAGGTCTTTGATGGGTGTGGAGGGGCTCTGCACTGTATCAAACTCTCCTATAAATAACCACAACTTGTGTCAAAAAACAGCACTTTATTCTCAGATCAAATATTATTCATTATTATTTATTTTAACAAATTCTATAAAAAAGAAACTTCCTCATGACACAAAAGATTCATAATCCAAATACACAATATTTTAACTCAAGCAAAAAATTTATAGTTAAAAATTCATATAGTGTTTGAATAGAGGGACTTGTGACAGAACCTATTTTGACTCCACAAGTTTCAGATGTGGAAGCAAAAGCCCCTGAAGGGCTACAGTGACCCTCTGAGGTCACACAAATCCCTTCCAGTTTTAATCTACATAATGCATTAAACCTGGTGTTTTTTATATTCCATATGCCTTCAACTTCCTGTCTCTACACTGCCTACACATTTATCTACCTTTATGTCTATTCTCAACTCCTTCTGTCAGAACTCAGAGGAAAAGATGCCTTCTTCCAGATCAGTCCCATCCCTCCACCTGCAAACTTGACTCTCTAAAGCCACTTCCCAAGGGACTGTGCTCCATTAGTCAAACCCTCTCTCATCTTTCCTTCAATGTCTTGCTTTCCAGGAGCCACAGGCTACCTCAAAATTTCTCCTCCTTGACCTTGCATTTCTATCTAGATACTGTTTGCTCTCTGTCTTCTCTTTTTAAATCAAACTTCTTAAAGAGTAATTCAAGGCAGATCCAACAGAAATATAATGTGAACCAGAAATGTGCCCATTATATATAATAATTTAGAATTTTCTAGTAACCACATTAAATAAGTAAAAAGGAACATGTAGAATTAGTTTTAGTCATATTTTAATTAAGCCAGTGTAGCCAAAATATTATCATTTCAACATGTAATCAATATAAAAATTATCACTGAGATATTTTACTTTCTCTTTTCATACCATGTCTTTGAACTACAGTTACAATTAGAGGAGACCTCAGTCTCCAGGAGCTGTATCACAAGTGCCCAATAGCTACACATGGTCAGTGGGGACAATACTGGATAGCAATTTGTCTCCATTTCCCAATATTCAATTTGTTGTAATCTAGCTCTAGTTTACCAAATCTCTAATGAAAATGTTCTTACTAACAGTCTCCACTAACTGCCTAATTCATAAATGCAATAGATAGATTCTGTCCCTGTCTTCCTGGACCTCTGTGCTCCATTTGATCCCATCAAACACCCCTACCTTCCATTATCTGGCCAGGATACCTTGCAGTCTTCTAGTTCTAGAATCTCTCTCAGCAGTCCTTTCCTGTCTGGGAGACATGGATTCCTTTTCCTCCTCTTATTCCTATGTGCTTATATTTGACAGAGTTCTACCCTTTGATCATTCTAATTTCACACAATCTGGGTGACCTACCCCTCTCACATGTTGATGACCATATATGTGATGATCCATACGTCTACATCCAACAACCAGGCCACATCTTAAATTCCTGACTTTTTATCCAGCTGTCTTCTTCATGTCCCATGGATACTTAAAATTTTGGTAAAGCTAATGATAGAATAAGGAGCTCTGGTGTTACTGTGGTTAAAGCATTGGGTTGTTAACCAAAAGGCTGGTGGTTCAAACTCATTAGCCACTCTGGGAGAAAGATGAAGTAGTCTGCTTCAGTAAAGATTTATAGCCTTGGAAACACTATGGGGAAGTTCTATTCTGTCCTATAGGGTCACTATGCATTGGAATTTACTCAATGGCAGTGGTTTATTTATTTATTTTTAATGATGGTATATTTTACAAGATAGAGAGTACTAAGCAATGGACAAACCTATGAGAGGGTTTGTTAAGATAAACCAAGATAACAGTATAATATAGAATCATAAATGAAAGTTGCAGTTAGACTTGCTGAATGATGTTAAGTAATTTACCTAATCTCCCTGAATTTCACTTTCCTTGTTTACTAAAATATGGATAACAGTAACTCCTTTTTTGAATTACTGAGAAGGATAAATTTTATTTACATTTTTGTTGATTTAAATCTTATATAACTATAAGGTAAAAAATTCTAGGAGACATAGTTGACAAATTACACTAAATTCAAATTATACCATTTTTAAACATGAAAATGTTATGACCATCATGCCTCATTATAAAATTAAATTATAATAATCCTGAAAGCAGATAAGCAGTTATTCTAAATAAACAAATCTGAACAAATTATATAACACTTAGGTAATAGTTTTTCTAAGATGTTCTAACAGTTACTCTTACATCGCTAACCTCTAATTATATAATGAAATTCAGATTTTAATCTGCAGCCACTGATGATGAGGCATTTTAGAAAGATCATCTTTTTATTCTATTGGAAAGAACATGAAACATCACCTAGGCCTAATAAAAAATTATCCTGTGTAATTTATCTGAGCAAACTTTATTTATTTTTTTGCTACTAAGTCACAATTAAATTTTGAAAGTAAAATATACACATTACAATTTATTCAAGGAGCCCTTGTGGTACAGTCATTAAAGGACTTGGCCACAAACTGAAAAGTTGGTGGTTCAAACCCACCTACCATTCTGTGGGAGAAAGATGTGACACTCTACTTCTGTAAAGATCTATAACCCTGGAAACCCCATGGAGCAGTTCTATTCCGTCCAATAGTAATCGTTAGGAGTCTCACCTGACTCAATAGCAGTGCTTCTTTTTTTTTTTTTTTTTTAATTGTGATTTGGGTGAAGGTTTACAGAGCAAATTCACTTTCCATACAGCGGTTCACATATATTTTGTCTCATGACATTAACCACAGTGTACCACAAGGCAATAGCTCCCCTCCCCATTTCCTCCCCACAGTTACCTCTTCCCTGTGTCCATCCCTCCATGCACTCCTGCCCCCTGAGCTGTCTCCCTGTGCGTAAGTAGCCTTTCTTTCTCCCATAATTGTTCTCTCCAAGGAGTGTATCTACTTGAGGTAAATGTTCAACTGTATCCTTGTTTGGCTGGAAACCACAGGTGTGGGTTCAATTCCAGATCTGAAGGGCAGCTAGGGGCCATAGTGTCAGTGGTTCTACCAGGCTCTATCAGACCAGCCAACCTGGTCCCCCCCACCTTTTTTTTTTTCTCCAAATGATTTTGCGTTTTGTTCCACATTGTTCTTCCTCTCTATCAAGGATCTCCTACATAGATCCCCTTCCAAGTAGATGACAGTGGTAGCCAGGCAGCATCTAGTTCTACGGTCTCATAGTCATAGAGGCTGCAGATCGGATGGTGTACCAGTCGCTAGGGCTAAATGTTTCCATGAATTTTGGTTTTCTTCATTCTTCTTTGCTCTGGATGAGGAGAGACCCATCATTGCATCTAGATGGCACCATGCTAGCTTTTAAGATCCCAGTCGCTACTCGCCAAAGTAGGAGGTGGAACAATGTTTTGTATAGTATTTTATGCCAATTGAGCTTGATGTCCCCTAGCAGTGGTTCTTTAAATATAACTCATTTATGTCTTCCAAAATGAGGATTTCTAGTAAATGTTTTCAATCTATGAACCACTTTACTCTCTAAATATGTAGCCCTCAAGTCAAATTCAAAGAGTTATATGGTACAAACTTACTAGAAGCTAGTGCAACCCACCACTGTGGTGGCTTGCATATTGCTGTGGTACTAGAAGCTATGCCATTGGTATTTCAAATACCAGCAGAGTCACCACAGTGGACAGGTTTCAGTGGAGCTTCAAGACTAAGACAGACCAGGAAGAAAGACATGGCAGTCCACTTCTAAAAAAACTGGCCAATGAAAATCTTATGACTAGCAGTGAAACATTTTATGATACAGTGCTGGAAGATGAGACTGTCAGGTTGGAGGGTACTCAAAATTTGACTGGAGGAGAGCTGCCTTCTCAAAGATGACCTTAATGATGTAGATGGACTAAAGCTTTCCGGACCTTCATTTGCTGAGGTGGCACAATTCAAAATGGAAACAGCTGCAAATATCCATTAATAATAAGAACATGGGATGTATGAAGTGTGAATCTAAGAAAAATTGGTGTTGTCAAATATGAAATGGGGCACATAAAGATTGATATGTTAGGCATTAGTGAACTGAAATGAACTGGTATTGGTCATCCTGAATCAGACAATCACATAGTCTACTTATGTCAGGAATGACAAACTGAAGAGGAATGGTATCACATTCACCATCAAAAAGATCTGTACTGAAGTACAAT